TATAAATAACAACGACTTAATTTTATAGCTAGGATATATTATTATCCTCGTTAATAAGACCTTCGGCGAGGATGACTTTACGATTTAAAGTAACGTAATTTATTATTTATTAATAAAGAGTAAGCGAGTTATTAAGAGCGTATTAGCGTTTAAAGTTTACGGAATAGTAAATAAAATAGATATTACTTATATAATTTTTATTACGTTTAAAAGGATTATAAATAGACTTAACTTTTTTATAATCCTTATAATTATTTATACCGATTTATATTCGCTATATGAATACTTTATTAAGTTAAGTACTATAAAAGAGAAGAGGCTTATAATCGATATTATAGCTTTTAAGTAGTTATACGAATAACAAGAGATCTTCGAAATCCGTTAGATTAACGGGGACAATAATTTAGCTAATGCTTTTATAAAAGCTATATTTAATAAAGGGCTAGAGCAATTCGTTAGTAAAGGAAAAGTAATAATACGAATAGAAGGATAGGTAACCCGTAAAAAGTAGAAAAAAAAAAAAAAAAGGGTATATTTAACGGGCTAGTTAGAGGTTAAATTATACTTCTAATTGCCGCTATTAAACAATAAAAGAGAGAGAAAGTTAGTATTAAATTAGAAGTTTAATTCGACTTTATAATAGCGTAGGGGCTATTTATTAATTGTATAGTTAATTATTATGGCCTACTTAACCTGCGGTTAGAATCTCCTTTTTATACCTACGTAGTAGATTAATATAGTTAATTGACCTACTTCGTTAACCTACGGTTCGAACTAATTGACTAATATCCCTGTGATAGGGATACTAACACCTGCTGTGCGAGCTGCGCCACTTGGGCCGCTGGGAAGGACGGTAGGGATAGCAATTATACTAACATTCCATCTACTGTGCAGATGAAAAGGTTCATGAGGAAGATGTAGCCAGTCGTTATTGGGTCCAATCCATGCTGTTTGCTTGCCATAGGCAGAGAAGGACGGGTTGAAGCATATGAGGCGCAGCAATAGATCTATGCACGTGGATACTTGCATCGCCGCTCTTCCCACGTTTTACTTGGCGCACAGGATCTCTGAGGATGACGGATAAGGGATTCCAGGACAAAAATACAATGCTTGATTCACTCACCTGAGGTCCTCAACCTCCTGTAGTAGGACATACGTCTCTGGGCGTGCCGCACGTCGGGTGCCTCTAGCAAACAAGTGATACTTAGGGCTGCCTGATCCTCCCATACGACTCTGCAGCAAGGTAGCATCTGTCACAACTTGGGTCCTTTGTTGGCAAATTTTTATCAAAGAGATCCTTCTTCCGGGCTTTCCACCCCTTCGGTATCCTCCTCGAGGCATTTTCGGGATCATCGTTGCCGGTCGAATAAGGGTGCACGTAAACAGGCGGAATATTGACCATACACTGGTCCGCGGTGTTGCAGCAGCATATGCAAGAAGGAAGCAAACAACACGTTTCCGGCCGCAAGCCGTCTCGCACAGAATTGCTCATGTTGGACTAATGCCCGAGATGGGGCCCTGCAGAGAGATCTCGCACCAACCAACTGGGACGGAACTCATCTGGAGATCTCGTACTGTGCCCTACTTCACCCTCCTCTTCTTCTCTTCACAGCGCCAGTGGCGGAGGCAAGACCCGGGAGAAAACGTTGGGACGATTGTAAGAAGAAGGAGACAAGAAAAAGAATTATTTGCTTTTCGCCGCATACTGTATGCAGGACTGGACATGTCGCTCCAAGGCCACGGAAATGAAACCGCACCGCCGCTCGGTCTGTGTCACCTACTCGAACAGACGAGGTTGCATGGGATGAAATTGAGGTAGATGTAGGGAGAGAGACAGGAGGAAGAGATGCACATTCTCATACGACGGAGGTGAGAAGCGCAAGATGGTTCGACCGACAGTTGGCCAATGCCGCCGTGTCTCACACTCACTGAGTCCTACCGGCTCACTCTCACTCTCACTCTTGCTCTCACTCTCACTTTGACTATCATTCTCACCCTATTTCCACTCATCTTCTCACCCTTACTTTTCCGCATCCGCATTAACAGTATCGAATCGCGGATGTCCCTCGGCAATGACTGACCAGCAAACAGCAATCTGCGCCGGTTGCGACCGAGACATGTGACGGTTTAAGTCTGATTACCTTGCAACCCTCATCTTTCGAATGCCAGTTGAACGCTAGGAGCGCAAGTTGTCGCAGCCTCTTGACTTCCTTTCGACCGCGATATTGGGAGTCGTTTATAGAGGTTGCCTGCCAGGTCGCAAGCCACTCAGGCGGGAACGGCGCTAGAGACGACCTCATTCGAGAACCAAGTGCAAGAGAACGTGGAACCAGACTGGGACGTCGTGAAACCACGGCATCGTCCCGCATAGACGGCACTGTTGTCTGTAGTGATCCTCTCGAGTTGAGGCGGTGTTGCCCACACCATACCCGGTCAACGGACTATGAACCTTCTAGCTCATCTCTCAGAAGCGGCCGTTCAAATAGAGTTTCGTCTCGTCGAGAATGGCCACGGACTGTGATTGGGTCATTCGGTACTCGGATGGGTGTTCGTCGCGTGGTCGCAGATGGGTTATGCGGTTGAGAGATATGCAACGGATACCGATACCGCCCGCGCTGAGCGACTGTTGTTGGGACTGGACTGCCTGTTGCCAAGAGCACTGAAAACGTCGATAATGCGACCTGTTCTCTGGCTTGGCTTGCGTGAGCCTATGTGTTCCATCCACCATTGCGCATACCAAAGGAGCACTTCGTGGATCTTGCACATTGCCCACTACCAATCTAAAGCTCTCCCGGAACAACATTCACTATGTCACGGATATTGGTTGGTGCAAAAGAAAGATGTGTATAAGAAAACGTGGGAACTCCGCCCCCTCCGGAGTGGGTGCTCGGTGGTGCTGTGATTCCAGTCTGGGATGGGCTGATGTTGACCAGGAAATCCGGGGAAGAGGAACCTTGACACATTGCGATCTAGATTCTTCCTTCCCCGTCAAGTAAGAAGACCAACGAAAAAGCGCGCATTGTTTCATTTGGGAGCCACTATTAGGCTGCCCAATGCCAGCTAACCCCAAGTTGCCCCAGGCTGGCGGCGCCGCCAGGTCGAGGGCCACAGTTCGTGTCAAAGTCGGTCTTAATGGCGGCAAAGCTTATCTTGTCGACCTCTTTCCCAGCCGTCTTTCTCGCGGTGCCCTGGATGGCGGCTGTTCCCAGAACATGGACGGGGAAACGGGCGCATCAGTCGCCAAGATCACGCCGGTCTCCTCGTTTGCCACGAGCTCTCGGTGAGAGAAGAGACTTGTGGCTTGCACAATTCATGACGGTGGCCTATCTAGCGAAAATGGCTCTCTTCCATTGGTTTTCGTCGGTATGGGGAGCTCGTGTTGCTCGACTCTCATCAACAAGCCCACTGCTCACAAGACCGTCTAGCTAGCTCGGGCGCCCGCCAAGCTCCAACCAACGTCGACGGTGTGCTGCCCGGTCTCGGCTTCACTGGAGGATGAGAAAGGCGGGAAGAACCCCGGTGGCCCGCCATCATCCATGTCGCTGATGAAAATGAATACAGGCTGGGCTGGGCACTATCCACCCCAATGGAACGGGACTTGATCGCATATGACAGCGCGACAGAAGTCAAAAGCACGCGATGCCCCATTGGCCTCTTCTCTAGCAAGATCTTGGCAGTCCAGAAAACAGGTCTTCCCCAAGAGCCCGAAGGATCACAGACGTCGGCAAGAATTCCCCTAGTTTGGCAAAGAGCCGTAGCTTGATTAGCCCGCCTCCACTGCCGGGCCCCTCTCCCAAGACATTCCAAGACCTCGACTGAAATGGAGTCGTAAAGTAATCGGAGCGCTCTCGTTAAACTCCACGACTCCCTCTCCGTGCGGGGAAAATGCCTAGAAACAGGATTGCGGGGGATGGAGAGAGAGGAAGAGGGGCGCGGCATGGGGTGTTCGTGAGAGGGCCGGTTCCCTGTCTCTGGCCAACTCTCTCGCTCAATGTCCGAACTTTTTCTGTTTCTTATGCTTATTTCGTCCGGGGGCCTCCAGGAATGTCGGTGGATGAGTGGAGAGACCTGTGAGGGGAAGACGGGGTCACGATGATGACCAAAAGATGATGGCGGCACTGAGGAGAGAGATGATGTCGAGGGAGAAGTCCGTCAAAAATTGTTGATGTTCTCACCCCTGTCTTCGTGTTGCCCACCAGCATCTCCACCAGGTTCCCCATCCTCTTCCCCGTTTTCTCCCCCGCGCCGCGATGGCCGTCACGACGAGAAGAAGCTTGTGAGTTGGGGGAAAACGGCTCGAACTTAATGCAGCACCCATCCTGAAAGACTCACATACTTCGGATACAAGGAAGCTAACGGGAAGAATCGAACATTCTATGCATTCAGCTCGACCTTCTTGTCAATCTAGCGTTTCCGTTTGGTAATCGTGAACCGTCCAGCACTCCTTAGCTTGCAGGGAACAGTCTATCCATAAATAAGTAGTGTAGCACAAACAAATCACTTGGGTCACACTATGGGACGTGCAGGCAATGTGCTGCCAGCAAGGAGCAATGGTCTCATTCCAATAGGCCAATCTGCAATATCCTTAGGGCACACTGCCCGTCGTGTTTGCGCCTGGTGCCAGCATAAGCGCAGGCGTCTCAGGCTGGGCAGAAAAAGAAGTTGAGGGCTGCGCTCGACGAGTCATGGATGTTGCTCAAACGGCCTGGGCATCGTCGACTCCAGTTGTCTCTTTTTCTATCACCTCCCATCGTCGTATTGGCAACGGATCATTCACCTGTCTGGCTTGTTCTTACACTCTTCTCCGCCTTTCTCCTCCGTCTTCCCCCCATTATGAGACCGCCATCCTTTATTCTGCCCACAGCCTGCCTTCCTGACTAGCCCCAGACTCGCCAGTCTGCGGGCCAATCGCTAGCTACAAACGGCTCCGGGGTTGGCTCATGAGAAGTGCCAAGAGCTCTGGGCATGCATTGGCGGGGGCAAGTCATCGGTCGTACGGACGAGGAAGTTAAACAACTCTTCCTAGTGGAAATGCGACTCGAAGTGTCGAGACGTCGGAGACACAAGCAGCGAGCAACGTGCTAAAGCTGAGTTCTCTGAGCTAGAGCCAGCCACTCAAATCCCTAACTCAAGCCCCCTGCCATTCTCTTCGTCTCGAAATGCAAGCCAGCTGCGAGGAAGACCACGACCAGCAACCTGCATGCTGCATGGCTACGTACCGGAAGCCCAAAGCAATAAGCCCTGCAAACCCTGCCCGCAGTTACTCCCTCACTCTCCCTCCTCCCAGGCTCCCAAAGTGTACCAGACCTCAATCCAGCCTTAGTCCATGTCGTGGGCGGCGCGGCGGCGAAGCTATGACTGGCAGGCAGGGTTCCCGGTACCGAATTTGAAGTACTCCCGTTCCCATCCCGTCGGAAGCCCGCACGGTGATGGCTGTTTACACAGTACTTCGGAAGAGAGGGGCGGGCCATCCAACGAAACCACTCAGATGGGAAGCCAATTTCGTCCTTCCCATTGGGGTATGTGATGTATAGAGTGTGAGTGTGAGTGTGAGTGGATCGGGGGTAGCACTCGGCGGCCACGGAGGGTCCCGGGCATGGCAGGACTGTCGTTGAATAAGAGAGGGAGACGAGACGGCCACCTACATCCCATGTTGTCGTCGAATTTATAAGAAGCAGCGCTCAAGGTTTCATCCCACGTTGGCTTCGGATCTACCCCTCAAGCTCATCCAGGTTGTTTTGGGACACATCTTCTCTCTGTGTGTTTCTCTCTCCCACTTGACCTCCCCGTCACCTCCCAACGCCTCCTGATTGCCGTGTTCCACCACATCTCGAGTCTTGCTCAACCTTTCTCTCCTCATCCCCTCTCATCCTGAGCTTCGGCTGCCGGTGAATATACCTGAATAACCCGACCATTTAAGCGAACCACGCACCAGATTTCGTGCGCCTGCCTTGCCGACGGATCCTACCTCTCTTTATTGAGAGTTCTTTTCTTTTTTCCACCACCGAAAGGCAAGAGGGAAGCAAACTTTTCTGCGGGATCCCACACACAAACCTCGGAAAAGCGACACACCTGGTTCCAACGCGCTCGCGCGCATACGCAATTCTCATTCGCACATCGAACACCTTTCCCGCTACCCATAACCGTCGTTCCAATACCGTAGCCATGGATCGCTACGGGAAGAAAGACCACGAGCTCGCCGAGAGCTCGGATGAGAAGCCCATCGACTCCCAGCTCGAGCAGGCGCAGATGCTTGCCGATCTGCCCGATCCCGATGCCGGAAAGTCTGCAGAGGAGCGTGCCGCCATCGTACGTGTGCTCCCTCTCCGGCTGATGAGTGATGAGGTCGTGAAGCCTTCACTCACTCATCCACTCTGCATTTCAGACGACGAAAGAAATGAGTCCACTCACGCTAACTCGTCTTCCCTTTTTAGGACAAGAAGCTCATGTGGAAGGTCGACCTTTGGCTGGTCCCTTGGCTATCCCTCCTTGTAAGACATGATCTTCCCTCTCACTCACCTTCTCCTAGAATCTCAGCGCATGAGCTGCTGCGCGCGCATAATACGATTGACGATATACTGATTCCATATTTCTTCATAGTACCTCCTCTCCTTCCTCGACCGAACCAATATTGGCAATGCGCGTCTCGCCGGCATGGAGGATGACCTCAAGATGAGCGGCACCGATTACAATATGTCGCTCACCATCTTCTTCATCAGCTACGCCGTCTTCGAGCCCGCCACCAATGCCTTGCTCAAGCGCCTCACACCCCGCATCTTTTTCACCGGAATCATCATCGTCTGGGGCATGATCATGACGCTCATGGGTCTGTGCACGAACTTTTCCGGTCTCCTTGCCGCCCGCTGGTTCCTCGGTATCGCTGAGGCTGGTCTCTTCCCTGGTAAGCCCGCTATTTCATCATGATCTCACGGAAACCTATTGTTGTGAGATTTCGGAGGCTAATATGAGATACTAGGTGTCAACTACTACCTCTCTTGCTGGTACAAGGGATCCGAAATCGGTGTCCGCTCCGCCGTTTTCTTCTCCGCCGCCGCTCTGGCCGGCTCCTTCGGCGGTCTCCTCGCCGCAGCCATCGCCAAGATGGACGGCATCGGCGGCAAGCCCGGCTGGGCCTGGATCTTCATCATCGAGGGTCTGGCCACCGTCTTCGTCGGTATCTTCTGCTGGTGGATGGTCTTCGACTGGCCAGAGGGCGCCCGCTTCCTGACCCCCGACGAGCGCATCCGCGTTCAGCGCCGCCTCATCGCCGACAAGCAGGGCCGCACCGCCGAGGACTTTGACAAGCGCCATATCTACGCTGCCATGAAGGATTGGAAGACGTATGGATACATGGTCATCTACATGGGCTGCCTCGTGCCCCTTTACGCCTTCTCCCTCTTCTTGCCGACCATCCTCCGTGGCATGGGTCACCAAGGCACCAAGGCCCAGCTGCTTTCCGTCCCGCCTTACGCCGTTGCTGCGGCTCTCACTGTTACTGTCGGTATCATTGCCGATAAGACCCGCTGGCGCGGATACTGCAATGTCGCGACTGTCACTATTGGTATCGTCGGATTTGTCATGCTCATCTCTACGACAAACCCCCAGATCCAGTACGCCGGAACTTTCCTCGGCGCCGCTGGTATCTACCCGACCATCTCAAACACCCTCTCATGGGTCATCAACAACACCGAGGGCTCTCTCAAGCGTGCTTTCGTCCTCGGCATGGTCGTCGGATGGGGTAATCTCAACGGTGTTGTCTCTTCCAACATTTACCTCAAGGCTGAGGCCCCTCGTTACCTTACCGGCCACGGTGTTGTCTTGGGCTATCAGATTCTATTTCTCCTCGGTGGATCTATCTTCATGCACTTCGCGCTTAGAGTCTCCAACAGCCGCCGCAGAGCAGGCAAGATGGATGCTCAGTGGGCTGGCATGACTGATGAACAGAGGTGGGTTGCTGGAGACAAGCGCCCCGACTTTATGTACACACTATAGGTGCTATATGGTGCTTTGCTTTGCTATTACAGCTATAGAAATTGGGTCAGGAGGTATGAACCCTGCGTTCAAAGATTGAGCTACATAGTGTCTCAAGAGCGCTCTTGTGTACATTCTTTGTCTTTGTGAAGTCAATGATACCATCCCTGCATTAGAGATTATCATTTCACTTCTTCGTATGCACGTGCTTCCAAGGACTGTATGTGTGTACAGCCTGTGTCCTAAGGTGGTCTGTTACGAATCCACATTATTGCATATTACCTTGTACTATTAGCTAGGGGATACGGAGCCTACGCTCTTGGTTGGTACAATGAAACATGGAATTTTGTGTTCTACAATCTAAATGAACTACGTCACATTCCGTTTACAATTCCAGACCTCCCACAACCCTAGGCCTCACTATCTGAGCTGAACTCAACAAGTCTGGCACCTGTTGTGTTGTAATTTGGCGGATTCCTAGTTTTCTCCGCCCATATGGCATCCGTCCGACGCTTGACCTCGTCGACCCAAGCTCTCTCAGTTTCCGCCGTACAAGCAACAAAAATACCGTCTGGGGTCAAGCCAAGACCAAGGTGTAAGTTGTCGAGTTGCCGATCAGGTCTTACTAAAAATGTCGATGTCGATCGGCTGAAAAATACATTGAGCTTGATCTTGTCGTATGTCGTCCACAACTCACGCCCTCCGTCAACCATAAGTCTCTCAAAGACCAGATGCTCATGCTCAGAACTTTGATTCTCTGGAGCAGAAAGCCGAAACTGCCATTGTCCTTGACTTGGCATGAAAAGGTCCAGAAAGTCATAGGTATGCGCGCCACAGTCCAGATAGCGGAGGGATTGTGTATGAGGCTGGGACATAGATTGGTGCAGGCCGAAGGGGTCGCAGACTATCCTGAACCTATTGGTGCCGTCAGTTTGGAATGTGTGATATCGCGATTCCTTCATTCCTCTTCCCTGATAATCTTATGTCAATAAAACAACAATACGCGGCAAAGATATCTATGTCCTTGGACATTTGCCCGACTCACGGTATTTGCCAGGATAATAGCAGCAAAATCGTCCCATTCTTCATCGCCGCCACCACCGCGGCCTCTTTGCACTTGCATTCCAAAAGCAGCGCCATTCTTGATATAGTTTTGGATTGTCTGGTGTGCTTTGGCCGTCGCCAGCCCCGCTCCCTTGGCACTGTTGAATGATCTGTTTGCGTCTAAGTATTAGTGCATCCGCACCCCTTCATCATTGTTCTTGTCAAGATAGATTTCGAGATGGAAACATGCTTACTCATTCGGGGTTTCCGGGTTCTGGTCCAAATAGACTATAGGCGGAGATACTGTATTTTGGAAAACCGTTTCGACGAACTTGAACAAATAGTACTTGACTCTTTGATTCTTGGCGCCGCCTCCAGATACTACAATCCGGCCACGAATGCCTTTTTGCGATGATGCAAGTTCAGCTTCAAGATCCCTGATGCCGCGTTCGGCTTCAAGCAATGGTTGAAGAAAGGCTTTCTTGAACATTTTGGTCAGATTATGAAGCGGAATATTGACGTGGAAGCGCTTGGAGGTTGAAAAATACTTCGCCGGCTTCGCGATAGTAAGATCCATGTCTTCGAACTGTGTCTTGAACTCATTCGGAGACTCTTCTCTGAACGGAATGTTGTTCCCAAGAGCTATGAGGCGCGTACGAAATTCTCTGAGAAACTCATTACGAAGCAAATATGAGAATTCTTGGCTATTGAGTTTACCGATGTCCGATGTGGTGTGGTTGGCGCAAAAGTCACCG